AAGCTAGGTCTGTAGATGCAGAAAGGTGACAAGGACACAGAGAAAGACCTTCTCCTAGAGCTGGTCCTCTGAATTGGAACTGTGAGCCTCTCTAAATTACGAGAGGATAAGTTTGTGTGTCAAAGCTACCCCCTTGTGGACTCTTGTGATCGCAACAGCCCTAGAGAGCGAACACACCATCCACCCTCTTCCCTAGTCACTGCTCTGGAAATTCACCAGCCCCTCATTGTTAAGTTCTGACTCCTAACAACCCTATATGGAGTTTCCGAGGAGCGGCTGGTGGGTTTGAACCGCTGTCCATGCCTTTGAAACACACCTTGTGGTCAGTCCAGTGCATTATTCTGCAGCGCCACACCAGGACTCCACCGGATCATACCCACGCGCTGTCGTTTCTCCCTCTAACCATACAAACCTTGCCTCCTGAATTTCCTTCAGTTCCCATTCCTCTATCCCCCTTTATAGCCCAATCCTTCCAGGAGCTGCTTACATGTCTCGATGTCGGTGATTCTCCCACACCTACTCCAAGCTAGCTCTCTTGCCAACTCACTGAAACTGCACTAGCCACATTCCCTAGCTGGAAAAATGGAATCAAAATAGGATTTTCCATCCAAGTACTGATTCTGTACTGGGGTATGCGCTCTGATACTCGTGGGTGAGCCCTTTACTTCCTTCAGGCCAACCCCACTGGACCGTCCAGTGCCTATCATACAGCACCACACTAGAGTCCATTGTTGTTGCTGTCGAGTTGGCAGCACTGCCCAGTCCTGGACCAATCTCACCAGCATCACTACACTAGAGTCCACTGTGCCCATCCATCTCACTGGGGGTCTCCCTCCAAATCAGACTCATTCGGAGATGCACGAGTGAGGTCTGGGAAGTTCACCCCACTCTCCCTCCACCACCCAGGAAGCTGTCTCAGGCCCAGGATTTTACTGCTCTGTTCTCCTTCATGAGAGCTTACGTGATTTCTCCTGAGGCTAGTTGGTACTGACCCTCCTAGAAGAGCTGTTTCTGGTCTAGTCAGACAAAATACAGCTAAAAGACGTGGGCTTCAACTTCACCCATCAACTGACTGGAATACTTAAAGGGGTTCTAGAACTTGTCCAGTGAACTGGGCCCCTTGTGGAACCTTTGTAGTGTACAGGACCTTAGGTGGAATCCTGAGCCCCATCCAGAACCTTCTGAGGTGGGATATTCTCACCAGAAAGGACAAGCAGATCAGCCTGGAACAGCTAGAGCAACAGAAGATACTTCTGGAAAGAAAGACCAGCAGGAAAAATCCAAAACAAACACAGCAGTCTGACTGGCTACTACAAGAATAAGCAAGTTGTTCACAAGGAAGCCCTCAAGGCAAGCAACCAAGTCCCTTGAGGATAAACCCCCCTCCAAGACAAACTCAAAGGGAACACACGAGCATTCATGTAAGCCTGCTGGTGATCACGCTGGTCTACTGGTAAGTGGAAGATGGGGAAAGGCAGCAATGAAGCTATGGGCCGAGTTAGACCACATTCCATAGACTCCTGCTGACCTGGAGATGACAGAGGGAAGAGGAAGGGCTGGTTGGTCTGAAGTGTGGTGAGACCTGGGGACTGCTGAGCCATGGACGAGGACATAACTGAAGTGCTCAGCTACTAGCTGACAATCTGTGGTTCCAGCCCACTGGACACCAAGGGAGTAAGACGGGGTACTCTGTGTCCGTGAAAACACACAGCCTCAGACCCCTGATGGAGCAGTGGGATTCTGTCCTGGAGGGGGCGTGGAGTCGGAATAGGTTCCATGGTGGTGGGTCCAGCTTGGATCACGTGCTATCTGCTCCTAAACTGGACTGTAAAGCATGTGTTCTATAGACACGCTTGGCTTACCAATCGACTTTATAAAGAACCTGTCTTCCGACCTGTGCCTAGCTCCAACAGTAGGTCCAAGAACAGAGTAGGAGCTAACAAACACTACTAAGTTCTTGAGTGAATTCTATTCCTGCTGCATTCAGCAACTGAGACTTTCTCCCAGCCTTCAAATTTTGCATCAGCAGACAAACATCATCTTTTCAGTGGACGGATGAGACACGAGAGAGCAGCTTATTTCTGCAATTCTTTATTAAAAATAATGCTGTACATGGAAAGACTGAACAGAAAGTTCAAGATGAACACCGCGTGTTGGGACCATGACGTGAGAAAATGTAACGGATCGGTGTTTTGTAGGGAAGTTGCTGACATCCAAACCACATTAACTGAGGTCAAAAGCAAAACCACAAAGGTGCCCTCAAAAGTATTTACAATGACGTAAGCACGCCAACAGAATTTAAAATCGGTACAAAAAATGGGAATGACCAATGTGACATGATTTCAAGGGTTGTCCCTTTCTGTTCTTTTGTCTGTGACTACAGGCAGGTCCGGGAAGTATCGATCCTTAATTTGACTTGACTCTGCTCAGATATGAACACCTTCCGATGTATGAAGCAAATTAGACAACCTCTTCAATGAAATTACACCAGGGAAGAAAAGGAAGCCTTCCCCTAGAAAAGACACCTTCGGTGGAACTGAGAGTTCTCTTTGAAACCCATTCCCAATAAAAACGAAATGAAAAATAAATATAAAACAAAGCTAAAAAAATAAGCATTACCTGACACCAACTCGGTTTTTCCCCGGCTGACGCTAGCTACGTCCTCAGAAAAACACATCAGCTGGCTACCTTTTCTTGTCACCCGTGTCCTGAGGTTCCTAGGGGCTGAAGCAAACTGGCTGTCATGCTGCAAACAGTCTTGGGTTTGAGACTGGGACTTGCCTCGCCGAGGAAACGTTTGCTGGTTTACCACAGAAGGAAACATGCAGGCCCTATCCGACCCCTACGCCTTGTCTTACCTTTCACGGAACATTGGTCCACAAATGAAATTTGCAAAAAAGTTCCCAAACCCGAAAACTAAAATAGATGATCCCCTTTCATTTTCAAAGAAAACAATATTGGAAAAAATCTCCAGCCCGCTTATAAATTAAGCATTTCATATTTCTTCTAGAATACAAGTAGTTCTTTTTTGTACAAAAGAATTACAATATGATTTGTCAAAAAACATATAAAAAGACAGCTGCTCTTCCTCAAATACAGGAGCTAAGAATGATAAGACTTCTGCGTGGTAATGTCTCTAAGCTCTTGTTCCTTTTGCATAAACAAAGAACGTCATGGTGGCGAACGTTTGTTCTCCTCAGAACACTGAACGTTCTGTTCTTTTTTAATCCATTCAGAGCAAATGCAATAACTGACTCTTTTTTTTTTTTTAAACTCAACAACTGATGCTTCCCAATGTGGTGGGCTCCACCACACTTCCTAAAATGTGTCCTGCGTGTCTCTGGTCCTCAAAGCTTTCAGGCGACGAGAGTTGCTGTCTTCTCTTGTTGTCTTGTTTTGTTTTCTGGATGCAAATCTCAAGGCAGAGAAAATCATTTTAAAGCTTATAAAAAGTGGAGGAATTGTAAAAACGGTTCTGAAAACTACAAACACGTATAATTAGTAAAAGCGAAGACAGTAACATCAGTTGTGAGCGCTCGGAAGTCCGTCCTGACCTTTTGATTTGGAGCTTCCACATTTGCTCCGTAGTTGTACAGTGAACACGCAGCGTGTAAGTAAACCATTCAGTGCTGGAGAAGAACAGAGTCTTCATTACTGGTTGGTGGTTTTATGTTTTTGTTTTTTTTGTGTGTTTTTTTTTTTTTTTTTAAGAAAAAAAAAAATCCTATGTTATTTGGCAGTCTTCAGTATCAAAGTGTAGGTTTTCATGAACTACAAATTCCACATTTTGGCGACAACTGCATGTCCAAATATAAGAAACTGGAGGAGGAGGCAAGTCCAAACTTGTGAGATGGGTGCATTTGGGAGGGTCCCACAAGAGTGAGGGAGTCCGTATCAAAAGTGACGATTCCTTTGGGCTAAGCAGTGGACTGCAAGGCACAGCAGACGGGTGTCCCTCCAGATTCAGGCTGTCCGTCTCCAGAAAGCTCAGGAGGCCAGGCCACTGCTGTGCTGGGCGAGCCTGTCCTCTGAGCAGTGTCTCTGTCTCCAGTGTAAAGTACCATACATAATAAAGCTGGGGCCAAAGAACTGAACTGTATACCAAAACTAAAAACTAAACAGAGCAAACTGTAAAAAAAACAACAAAAAACCCTAAAGTGATACATTCCTCAACTTCAGGCCTTCAACACAATTTGTTTTTTATTTTTTATTTTTTTTAATTTTTTTTTGCTTCCGTGGAACTGCAGCTGACTTGCAGGGCAGCACTCCTGGTTTTGAACCTTGGCCTGAGGGGCTCAGTGGTCCTCCAGTTACAGGCGATGGAGCCTTTGGTCAGGAAGGCTGCATTCAGTAAGGGGGGGGGGGGGAGGGTTTGTATCCAGCAGCTCCTGAATCTTTCTGTGTGGTCTTCAGACAAACCAGAAATCCCAATCTGAACCTGCCGTGGGAAGCATACACAGCTTGCATACAATACTCTTACGCACTATGTACGTACTAGGTTGTATTTCTTGGAAATATTTCCTTTGTCCTTGAAGCTCTTCAGGGCAACTCATCCCCCAAAACAGCAAATCCGGCAACCCTCGATGATAATGGCTGCCCGGTACAGTTTCCCCCAAAATGGTAAATCGTTTCCCTTCGTAAGTCTACATCGTGGCCAAAGTTCAAAGATTGGTAAAGAAAAAGTCTTAAAAAAGTAAAATTAGTGCATATACAAGTGGCGCGGAGGAAGGGGGGTGGAGGGAAAAAAAAAAACAAAGAAAGGCAGAAGCATCATTCACCTGGCGGCATTCCTGAATCGAAATCACTCTTCACAGACAGAGCCTTGCCGGCAGCCCGGGCTCCGGGTGGGTGACACGTTCTTCTCTAAGTGCCAGTGTACTGACTGAGGAGTGGGTGGCTCTGCTCTCTGCTTCCTCAGCAGGGAGAGGTGGCCGGGATGCGGCCCCTGGCCAGGATCCTCAGCATAGGCCCATGTGCTGTCAGGCGGCTTGGTCTGAGCCAGCAACTGCTACAACTGACCACTGGCCGCTGCAATCAGTTCTTGAAAAGTGTTTTCAAAGCAGCGCTTCAAGTCACTGTAAGTCACCACAAGGACACTCTTTTCATCTCGGGAGATGAGGCTTATCTTCTCGGGAACGCCGGCATCCAGCTGAAACAGACGCGCACACAGTGAGAAGGCCACAGCACACGGAAGAGCATTGGTTCTATCTGAAGAACAATACACACCCAGAGGAGGCTTTCAAAGAGGCCTGGAAAAACTCCACTTTTCATGACCTCTGCAGGCCCTTTGGGCATACCTTTTAATTTTTACCACATGCTTTTCCATCTATCTACAGTATTTTACAATCACTCATCAACATGGCCAAGGCGCTCTGGTAACAAACGTTAACGACTTCTAGTCGGGCTGCTCACTCAAAGGGCAGCACTCAGAAACTACCAGCCATTCCGCGGGCGGCAGCCGAGGCTTTCTGCCCTGGGGGGGCGCTGTGGGCTAATGTCCTTTCTACTGCTCACCAGCTGCTCCTCAGAAACCCTATACAGGGTCGCTATGGGTCGGAATCGACTTGATAGCACTTTACAACAACAACAAAGATCTAGAGCCTCGGAAACCCTGTACAGGGTCGCTATGAGTTAGAAGTGACTCCACAGCACATAACCAAGCAACCAACCAATCAACATGCAAGGCACCCTGATGGCACAGTGGGTGAAGTTCTGGGCTGCTACTAACCACAGGGTGGTGGTTCAAACCCACGACTCACCACTTTGCTCTGCTGCTGTAGAGACTCATGGTCTTGAAAACTCTAAGGAGAGGGTCTAGTCTGCTCCAAAGGTACTCTTAGTTGGAATCAAACCAGACGGCAAACAGGCTTGGTTTGGGCTTTTGAGTAATCTGTGTGCAGAGGAGCCCGGGTGGCGCCATGGTTAAGCGCTTGGGTGCAAACCTAGAGGTCAGCAGTTTGACCTCAACAGTTGCCCCTCGGGAGGAAGATGTGGCAGCCTGGGAAACACCAGGCGGCAATTTCAATCTGTCCCAGAGGAGCAGCAGGAGACACACTGGGCTCTAAAGCAATTGGTCTGGTCTCTGGGTTTTAAACAGTTATGCCCACAATTTTCAAATCCAAAATATTTAGGATTTTTCTTCCCTAAATATAACCAACTATTCTGTTTCTCTCTCTCCTTCATACATAACACTTGTATATAATTACATAGAGTACGAGGAGACTTCACTAAGTTCGTGTGAAAATGCCTTACCATTTTTCTGTGAACTTTCTGAGACCCCTTCCTATCAGTCATTTGCGGCGCTGTCTTTCTGATTTTTTTGTATTATGTAGTACAGGGCAATAGATATATTCATTTTTTTTTTCTTCTCCTATAGAATCACTTCCTTAAAAGAAACTCTTAGAGATGCAAATAACCAATCATGAGCTCTGAAGAACTGTTGAGCTTAATATTACAGCCAGCCGACTTCCCAAAGGGCATCCAAGATGGTGGCCATGACTGCTGACGCCTACAATTCTCCAGCAAACCTGGTCAGGACAGTGCCAGGCATCTAGTCTACTCACATCTGCACCTAGCCACAGAATGTCAGCTCAGGGCCCTAACACTCTCCTCCAGGAATCTGAAAGTAGCAGTTCAATAAAACCATCATAAAAAATATTGGCTAATCCCTTGTTCGTTGGCACGGTGGCCTCACACTTATAATAAGCACTGGACTGTGAACCACAAGGTCCATGGTTCAAGCCCACCAGCTGCTCCATGGGAAAAAGATGGAGTTTTCTGCTCGTGCAAAGATTTACAGCCTTGGAAACGCTAGAGAGGGTCGCTATGAGTCAGAACCGACTCGACGGCACTAACCAACAATCCGAAATTCATCAATTGCGCCTTGCTACGGTTTTAGCTCTTTCAACTCTCAATGAACATTTCCCCCAATTTCATTAATTCATTAAAATCTGAAACTGCCTCTTTTAAGCCATTTTACCAGTTAACTTCTGTCATCATTTTCACCAAAACTTAATTTTTACATGAGACAGCTTAATGAAAATGGAATTCAGAAATGAATTTTCCCTGCGTGATGTGAAGCCCCCTCGTATAACCAACATGGCCTTGCTGCCTTTTCCCACTGTTAGGGTGCAGTTTCCAACCTTAGAAAACGGTCACACTTTTGACTCGGGATAGTGTTTATTTACTATGAGGCTGTTATACTTTTGAAAATTTCCCATCCTTGTCCTATTCATGAGCTCATCACTAACACACATGTGCTCAGTTCACATCTTTTAGGGTCTCTCTGTTGGTGTTTGTATTAGTCTTACATCGTCTCAGTGACTGCTGCTTTGAGGCTATGCTCTGAATTCTGGGAGAATCGCTCTCGGCTTGCTGCGCTGAAGGAGCAAGCGTTCCATTAAGGGAAATGAAGGGGAACTAGGTCTATGAGGCAGGCTGGTCTGCGTCAATGATGTATGTAGTTCTGTGCTTTAGTAATGTTTTGACTCAAAACAGTCAAAAAACCAAATCCAAACCCATTGCTGTCCAGTCAATTCCAACTCAGAGTGGCCCAACGTGGCATTTCCAAGGTTGTCGATCTGAACCAGAGCAGACAGACTCATCTTTCTTCCGTGGAATGGCTGGTGAGTTTGAAGGCAATTCAAATATGGCAAAGTGGGACTTAAAAAAAACAACTGTACCACCATTGTTTCTCTGGAAGGGAATGTCCACTTTCACACATTGATTCTCTACAATGTGCTACCCATGGCTGACGCTATGTGGACAGTTTAGAACAGAGATCAGCAAATGTCTCTATAAAGGGGCACAGGGTATTTTTGTAGGCTTTGTTGTTGTTAAATGCCATCAAGCCACTATTGCAGTCGAGTGCTTTATCCTACAGCACCACACCAGGATTCCTTTTTAGGATTTGTTGTTGTTGTGTGCCGTCAAGTCAGTTCTGACTCGTAGCAACACTGTACAGGGTTTCCAAGGAGCAACTGGGTGAGCTTGAACTGCCAACCTTGTGGTTCAAACCGACTTTGCAGTCCAGTGCACCACACCAGGCTCTCAGGGGGCCACATATAGTCTCTGATCCAGAATCTTGGCTTTTTGTGTGTGTTGTTGTTTCTGTTGTTGTTCAGTGCTGTGGTGTCACTTCTGACTCATAGCAACCTTGTAGGTAGAGCAGCTTGTGGGTCTGAACTGCCACTCCTGTAGTTCAAACTGACCACGTGGTCCTATGCTCATCCTGTAGTGCACAACTCACAATTTGCTGGCTGTACAAAATCAGCTCTGAGTTGGATGTGGACAATCGGGCTGCAGCTTGCCAACCCCTGGTTTAGATACCAACTTGTACAAAGACCAAGTTCACCACCTGAGCCTGGTTCTAGGCTGTGCATCCAAGGAAGTCATCAAGAAAATGCCTTTCTTCTAGTCTGTATGTCTCTTAGTCCTCTAAAAACTGTGACCATCACCTCTCAATCTCTGATAGCTCTCCATCTAGAAACTGAAGCCTAGACTTACTTGGACCCGCGGGTTTTATCTGCATTATCCCAGAAGTCAGTGCATGAAAGTAAAAATGCTGGGAACATTTTACGTAACTCACAAGGATTTCAACAAAAACGATTCCATTTAAAAAATATATATTTAAAAATGATTTTACTGTTTGCCACAGTTAATATTTTCTTTGTTACAATGAAATTAACATAAATAATAGATGTTCTTGTTAAGTGCTGAGCCGTGGCTGTTTGAACCCCCGACCTTGCGGTTATCAGTCCTGTGCTTATCCTACAGTACCACCCCAGATCAGCGTAAAATGGGGGAACAAAGTCTTCTGTGTCATTTTACCACAATGAACCAATTTAAATTTAAAAATTGCAATTCTTCGTGCGGGTGGTTAAAAAGATACTTCTAATTCTACAAAATTATTATTATGAACAACTACTAATAATTAATAAAACACCTTTGTAGTCTACACTATGGATGCTAAGGCTCCTAGTAAGTGTCGAAGCTGCCACAGCTCTACACGCTGTTTGACCCCAGATACAAATTACCTTGTTAAGACAAGAAATGATGTGACTGAGATCAATCCAGGGAGCCCCCGCTTCCGTCACCTGGTGGAAGAGATGATCCCGAAAAAGTTTCAACAGGTAACGGTCTCCAGTTTCTGACCACGTAGGGTCCTTCTGGAACCTGGGGGAGGTGAACATTTCACACCATCAACTCACACTCAATACCAGATGGCCATACGGTAACTCTTCCAATTGGAAATGAGTTTAACTTTTCCCCAATAAATAAGAAATTCGTTGGTTTGTATGTGTGTGTGTAACATGTTTTAAAACCCCCTCTATCTACCCACTGCTGTAGAGTCAAATCGGACTCACAGAACCCCACAGGATACAATCACACTTTCCCAGAGGGCTGCCAAGACCGTAAACCTTTATAGGAGCAGGAAGCCTCATTTTTCTCCCAAGGAGCGGATGGTGTGTTTGAACTGCCAACCTTGTGGCTAGCAGTCCAGTACTTATCCCACAGTGCCACCAGAGATCCTATTACAGGAAATGGAAGAAACTGAAAACACAAAAACACAACCGAATATCGTAACTGACCATTGGCAGCTTCAGAGGAACCAAAATTCACACACTATAAAGCAGAAACAGGTCTAACCCAAAAGTTCCCTGAAATTAAAATAGGATAGCAGAAATTTTAACATTAAAGAATGATTGGAGAACGCTTTGGTTAAAAAAAAAAAAAATTAAGCTGAGATCACAGTATAGGAAATAGAACACAGAGAAGAGAGAAGAATGAGACAATATATACAAAAGTCCAGAAAACGAGAAGAAATTAAATGATGCATTTCTAAGCTGAAAGGGGCCCAGGAGGTAATTCATCAGAATGAATCAAATGCCCACACCAAGGAACGCCATTGTGAAATAGCTCAACACCGGTGACAAAGATAAGATTCTGAAATCTCTGGGAGCGGGAAGTACCCAGCAGTGAGTTACTTTACCCGTCATCTTTTCAGCTTCCACAAACGTTTTTGCCCTGCTAGGTCTAGGTAAGAGAAGGTGGGAGAAGACACTAAAGGGATTCTGTAATTCAGCTGTGAGCAGCTACCAGCGCTCACTGGGATTGTAAAACCGCAAGCTCCAGCGCGAGGCTAAGATGAACCATCTCAGAAGCAGGAGGGGGAAATCTCACTGCCATTGAAGATGAAGAGCCCTTTGGGACATCAAGATCCCTGTGCACTGAACCTTCTTGACCCAGGGACAGAAAGCTGTTGACACTGGAGCCAGAGTGCGAGACAGCAGTGGGCTCCCAGCCCACAGAGCAGGTAAGGCCAAGTGGCTTTGGGCAGGAGGCTTGCTTGCAGAGCGGGGCTGCCTGCAGACACTGAGGTGGGGGAGCTCAAGCCAAGTGCCTTCAGACTGACATCTATGACGGAGTGGTGTGTCCTGTGGGCCTTTATCACCACCCTCAATGAGCTCTGCAATGTTGCCCCGGCTGAGAGAGGCCTGTCTGAGGGCCCAGCTGACAGAGGCTGCCCAGACAGGAGGAACTGAGCCTATGTTGATCTTGCACTGTAAGCCATGTCTGTGAGTCTGGGCGGCCACTGCACTGAATGCTCTATCCTAGCAGGAAAGGAGCGAGTGCTGTGGGTAGGACGGTTCAGGGGTCATTGTTTGCAGGAATGATCTGGAGAGGAAATGACTTGGAATCTGTTGGGAAATTCAGTCTACTGGACAATGCTTCACACATAGAACAAAAACTATCATCAGTTTTATTTAATTACACACTGGAGAAAGTAAAAGTCTAGAAATTTGGGGGAGGCAATATAACATATCTGTAGATAATCTGACTTGATACCTGGGAAATCCAAGCCAGTTTGTGGAAACAGCTGCCCAAACCACTGGTGGGGATCCGAGCGTCAAATTTCTAGAAAGCCATCAGTTTCATGCTACCAATAACCCGCAAGGAGACAGACTGGGATAAGAATGCCCTCTATAACAGCAACAAGAAAACATTCCTGTGAACAGGGTGAGCACACGGCATGAAGAGCAGTTAAAGACTGCAGCAGAACACAACAGAAGCCTCACGTAAAGGAAAGGCCGGCCGCGCTCCTGGTTAGCATGACTCAGTGTTGAAAAGACAACTTTGCCCTCAGTTTATTAGCAAACAGAAAGAACATCACACCATCAGGTCGGTTATGTTGTTGTTGTGTTGTTTACGTGTTGTTAAGTCGGTTCCCATTCACAGCAACTCTGCATAGGGTTCCCAAGGGGTGAGGATGAACCGCAGACCTTGTAGTTAGCATGCTTGTGCTTATCCTACAGCATCACACCAGGATTTCTCAGGTTCATTTTATATATACAAACCTCTGGTAGCATGGCGGTTACGAATAGGGCTGCTGACCTCAAGGTCAGCAGTTCGAAACTACCAGTTGTTCCATGGGAGAAAGATAAGGCTTTTTGCTCCCATAAAGGATTTACCGCCTTGGAAATCCTGTACAGACAGGGTCACTATGGGTCAGAACCGACTCCACGGCACATAACAACAACATATATACACACGCACATGTCCACATATAAACTAAACAAGGCGATTCTAGAATTGAATAGAGAGAATTCAACCATTTACGGACAGTGACTAAAAGAGCTCACGCCAGGCTGGCACTGGGAAAGAGTCACCTGTGGAAATGCCAACATAAACTGTGTGGGGAAGCGACACTACTCAACAGGGCTACAAACAAGTTCAATCCACACCTTACACTTATTTACATTTCAAATACATACAAGTTGGAATGAAAACAAGAAAATCAAAAATGTTTCAGGAGGAACCACAGGAGAACGCCTTCAAAACCCCAGAGTGGAGAAGCCTTTACTTTCTAACTATGAGTCAAAGTCTAGAAGCATAAATGGAGCTGAGAAAATGTGAAGACATATAAAATATTTACACAGAAAAACTGTAAGCAACTCAGTTTGACAAACTGGGGAAGTAAAAAATACCCCACACATTACAAGAACAGGTGAATCTCCCTAGCTCCTATGCTTTAATAAGAAACTTACCTGACATAGACAAATGGGCAAAGGATATGAAAACAGAGAAAGGAAATTAAACGGATCAAAAACAGAAAGAGATACTCAACTCCGCTCAAGACTACATGGATTATAAAACTGCACTGGGTCTACATTGGTTCCCATTCCAAAAAAGGTGACTCAAAGGCATGTGGAAATCAAATCATGGACAGTATCATTAGCATCATTACACGCATGTGAAAGTTCGCTGAAGATCATTTAAAAATGGCTGCAGCCGTACATTGACAGGGAGCTACCAGAAACTCAAGCTGGATTCAAAAAAGGATGGGGGACTAGGGATATTGTTGCTGTAATCAGACAGGCCTTAGCTAAAAGCAGAGCATGCCATCAAGATGTTGGCTTGTGCTCTATGACTCTGCAAAGGGTCTCTAGATGTGTTGTCAGGAAGGGCCAGTCCCTGGAGAAGGACATCATGCTTGGTAGAGTGAAAAAGAAGAAGATTCTCAAAGAGATGGGTTGACCCAGTGGCAGCAACAATGGATGCAAACATAGCAATGATCGCGGATAGAGCAGGACTGGGCATGTTTTCGTCTGTTGCACACAAGGACACTTTTGAGTCTGAACCACTACAGCAAAGTCCCTAAACTAACCAAGGAATTTGATCAGGCTTCAAAAAGGAGACTGGGTGGGGGTGGTGTGTGTGTGTGTGTGTGTGTGTGTGTGTGTGTGTGTGTGTGTGTGTGTGTGTGTGTGTTGTGGTTAAGTCATAAAACTACAATAGTGGTTTCTAATACACCACATTTTCTGTGTGTAAAACCCATAAAGACAACCACATGTAGAGGATGTGGTTGCATAACAGCCTCCCAGTTGCTAACAGTCTCGAGACTACTTCACATAAGAATTTTCATTTTTTCAAATAAAACCAGAAACAAGGTATATTCATTCTCATGATGTAAAACAGTGGCCTGACTTGAAAGTACACTGTAAAGAACTGGCCAGCCTTACTCTGGTCTCTCCGTGATTGTGCCCAGTTTTGCTACGAGCCTGAACAATCTTCCGTTCTGAAGCTCCTAGAAAACATTGGAAACAGACACAGTGTTAATGTCCCAGCTACTTGAACACTATAAAAAAGCACCATGTGCAAACACTGGCGTCTTGGATCAGTCTCACCTTTAAACAATAAACCCCCACACCACTCCTTTGGGTTATCCTTTCAAATACACGCCCGTTTCATTCAGTCATCTGACTGAAGGACATTAGGGAGTGGACATGACTCACATGAAAAGGAAAAAAAAATAATTAAGATTTTTTTTCTCAGAGCCATGAACAAAAAGAAGGAAAAACGAACACCTGGAGGATATAAGAAATGAACTCCCGAGCATTCATTGTGCATAAAAATGTCTGCTAACAACTCCATTATCCCACTGCACCCTCCGCAGCAGTCAGCACAGCGCTGTTGCTTTCTAGATCTGCACACACAGGTCAGGGGCAGACACTCCTCAACGCCCTCTTTACCTTAGCCAGATCTTCCTCGATCACGTCGTTCCTCATCTGAGCAGCATCCAACTGAGTATAAAACCGAGCTCCAATCATAGGCATGATGTCATTTACACTCCGCATCCTGTTTTGGTCAGTCAACAAATACCTGAGGCCAAAGAACCAGGAGTCACCTGAGTGCTAAACAGGCCATTTCAAAACACAACATGAAACCACATAGCTTGCTGGGGGTCACTGTCATAGTCCTGTACACAATTTCAACACAGGGCTCTTTTTCATGCAAGTCTAGTCATTCTGGAAGCTTCATCAACATGATTTCTTTTCTCTGGAAAAGGTTAGTGGCCAAGGCAGACACTGCAGACCCGTGTCTTCTGTAACATACACCAACAGGGACCTGTGTGATTTCTGCTTCTTGGTAATGATTTCAGAGTTCTGTCTTCATGCCCAAGGAGCCCTGGCAGCATGGTGGGTAAGCCAAAGGCCGGGTGTTTGAACTCACCAGCCGCTGTTGGGAGAAGGCTGAGGCTTTACAGTCTGGGAAACACTATGGAGTTGACCTGCTCTGTACTTTACGGTTCCTACAAGTCAGAATCAACTTGAACGCAGTGGGTTTGGTCTGAAAAACCAAGAAAATATTACTCTTTTCAAAGGACTACCTGCTACAATGGTTCTCGATGTTGGGAACTTCAACCGACTACTAGTGCTTACTCTGACAGGAAAGGTGATTTCTTGATCACCTCATTAAGCAACTGCCAACTCCTTCATCTTCTGTGTAGTGTTCTGCCTCATTTTCTCCACAGGACTTGTCTCATGTTGCTCTGAAAGGGTCTTATCTGTTCACATGCTCATGAATTCTCTCTGTACTAGACTCTACATTCCAGAAGACAGGAGAACTTTGTTTGTCTTATTGCTCAGTATCCGGCAGACAACAGGTGTTCTTCTGTTGGATACATGAGCGGCTATGGTCAGGTGGAGAGTCAGTGTCTAAACTATTATTCCTCTGGAACTACTGACACCCCTGTCTCTAATGTCCCCTGGATAGTGCAAACGGCTCAGCGCTTGCCGAATAGTCAGATGTTTAGTGGTTCAAAACCACCCAGAAGCACCCAGGAAGATGGCCGTTTTGGAAGGTCACAGTTTTTTGAAAACCCTCACAGTCGCCGTGAGTCAGTAAGAATTGAGTCCACAGCAGCTAACAGCAGCAAGTCAGGCTTGCAGTTACTTCAGGCTCGTGACTCTGCAAGGTCCTCTGCTACTGTGTGTGTCACCTGTGCCCTGTGTCTCGTGGGCCTGCAGCTGGCCAACTAACAGGACTTCAGTGACTGAACCACACCAAGAACGTGGCTGATCACTCCTTAAATACTGCAGTTCTTTATCATAAAGTCTGATTTTTTTTTTTTTTTTGCTTATCCACTTTTTATTACAAAAATGTCAGATGTAAGAGTAGAAAGAACCCTATAATGAAGTTCACTGTCCTCTTTACCCAGCTTAATCCATTATCCACATAGAGGAGATGTGCTACAATTATAGGTCAGCTCCCTTTTTCAAAAAACAAAAACAAAGCAACTGTGAGGGTCATGAGCAGAGATTCTTTGAGACATCTTAGTCATCACGAGCCAACACACCAAGCCAGGGGCAGACTGCGGACCAGACCATCTATTGCTTTTATGCAAGTTCACGAAAGCAAAATATGATTTTGAACATATCCCACCTGAATTTAGAGATCATCTCAAGGACAGATTTCATGCATTACACACTAAAGACCAAAGACCAGAAGAGTTGTGAGACAAAATCAAAAACATCAGACAGGAAGAAAGCAAACGGTCATTGAAAAGACAAGACAGAAGGAAAAGATTAAAATGGGTGTCAGAAGAGACTCTGAAACTTGCTCTGCAGTGTAGAGATACTGAAGCAAATGGAAGAAATGAGGAAGTAAAAGAACTGCACAGAAAATTTCAAAGGGCAGCTCCAGGAGACAAAGTCAAGTATTATAATGAAATGTGCAAAGACCTGGAGTTAGAAACCCAAAAGGGAAGAACACACTCAGCATTTCTCAAGCTAAAATAACTGAAGAAAAAAAATTCAAATCAAATCTTGTCTTGCATTTATTGAATGCGTCTATGGGGAAAATATTTAGCGATGCACAAAGCATCAAGGTAAGATGGAAGGAATACACAAAGCCACTGTACCAAAAAGAAATGGTCCATGTTCAATCAATTGACGAGGTAGCACATGATCAAGAACTGAAGGAAGAAGTCCAAGGTGCACTGAAGGCTCTAGGAATTCAAGGAACACAAATGGAAATCTTCCAGCAAACTGATGGGCAGCACTGGAGAAGCTCACTCACTTATGTCAAGAAATTTAGAAGTTCCCCGGCCAACCCATCACAAAAGATCTGTACTTATGCACATTCCAAAGAGAGGGGACCCAACAGAATGCAGAAACCATCGAACAATATCATAAATATCATATGCCAAGTTAAATCTTACTGAAAATATTTCAAAAACGATTCTAACAGTACATTGACAGGGAACTGTCAAAATTCAAGGCAGATTGAGAGGATGGCTGAAAGCAGGGAACACCAGAAAGGTGCTTACCTGTGCTTTTTTGACTACGCAGACTTTCAGTTACGTGGATCATGACAAACTACGGCCAACATTGGAAAGAATGAGTATTCCATCCAGAACACTTGACTGTGCTCATGAGGAGCCTGTACTTAGACCTAGAGGCAGTCGTTAGACCAGAACAAAGACATAGTGAATGGTTTAAAACCAGGAAATTTGTGTATCAGGGTCGTATCCTTTCACCATACTTGTTCAGTCTGTATGATGAGCAAAATAATCCAAGAAACTACATTATATGAAGAAGAAGGTGGCATTGGATTGGAGGAAGACTACTAACAACCTGCGATACGCAAACGATACAACCGTTCTTGTCGGTATCAAGTATTTACTGATGAAGATCAAAGGCCACAGCCTTCAGTATAGATTGAGCCTCAATGTAAAGAAAACAAACATCCTCACTACTGGACCAGTATATAACATGATAAGCAGAGAAAAGATGGAAGTTGTCAAAACTTCATTGTGCTTGGATCCACAATTAACACCCATAAAAGCAACAGTCCAGAAATCAAACAATGTTATTTATTGCATTATGCAAATCTGCACAAGACCTCTTTAAAGTGTTCAAGAGCCAAGAAATCAATTTGAGTCCTAAGGTATGCCTGATCCAAACTATGGTATTTTCAATCATCTCATATGCCTGCGAAGTCTGGACAATCAATAAGGTAGAGAGTATGAGAATCAATGCATTTGAGTTCTGGTGTTGGTGAAGAATAGGGAAAGTACCACCGACTGCCAAAAGAACAAACCAATCTGTGTTGGAAGAAGGACAGCCAGAGCGCTGCTCAGAAGCCGGGATGGGGAGAGTTCATCTCTCCTACTTTGGACATATGACCAGGAGAGACCAGTCCCTGGAAACGGGCATCACACTTGGATGACGGGTCAGAACAAAAGAGCTGGACTGACACAGAAGCAGCATCACCAGGCGGAAACGTCACAACTGTGAGGACCGTGCGGGTCTGGGCAGTTGTGCTGTGCACGGGGCTGCTGTGAGTGGGCACCAACTCGACGGCCCCAAACAAACTGGTGGTCAACAAAAGCTCAGTATCATTGCTACTGTAATGATCCACCAATATTGTCATTGTTAAGTGCCAGCTGGTGAGTTTGAACTGTCTACCTTGTGGTTACCAGTCTAGCACTTATCCTACAGCAGGACCCCATAATAAAAGGAAACCACGATACCATAAACCATACTGCCGTGTGCGTCAAGTCGGTTCGGACGCACTGCAAATCTGTCCAGGTTTATGAGGAGTGGCTGGTGGGCTTCAACTGAAAACTTAAGAGTTCTCAAGTCTAGTGCTGATCCTACAGCACCAAGTGGTGCTCAAAACCCATAATGTAAGAAAGACCCTAATGTGCATATGTTAGCATCTGTTGAGTTGCTTCTGACTCACAGTGACCCGCTAAAGGATTTCTGAGGCTGCAAATCTTTATGGGAGCAGAAAGCCTCATCATCATCCCACAGAGTGGCTTTGTGGTTAGCAGCCCACCACACACACACTATGCCAGCAGAGCTCCTAATCCAGCAAACAAATGTTTTCATTCAGAAGACTGTTGTCATTGTTCAGTGCCATCAAGTCGGTTCTGTCTCATAGTGACCCTGTGTAGGGTGGTTTCCATGGAGCAGCTGGTGGGTTTGAATCACCAACCTTGTGGTTAGCAGTCCAGTGTTTACCCTACAGTGCCACACCATGACTCCACAGAA